TTTTTTTTGGTCGGTCTGAAAGACCCAAAAATATCGGCACTGACCATTTTTTTAGGGGTTCGTTTTCCAGTCGCACATGAAGCCACCAGCCTGCGTTATAGCCGGACGTGTCATAGAATCCCCGATATAGTCCGTCTGCGAAACGGCTCCCAAAAGCTTGTTCTGGTATCCCGCATGGATACACGGATCTGTGTATCCATTTCTGATTGGCTAGTTTCTTACACGCCTTGTGATTGGTCATATTCTTGCGAAATATATCACGCAATGTTAACAATAGAGTGACAGGCCTACACAACTCTTATCCAACGTGTATTAATAAATAGCCGCTTTGAAAGTTTTGCTCGAACAAGTGTATCTTTAAGGATCTGCCCCTTTTTTATGATACGATAGGGGGATCTTTGAATATTTCGATAAGCAATAATCCTGTGTTTTTAGGAGGACATTTCCAGAGTAGAGTCGTTACAGGTCATAGGTCTGTGTGGTTTCCATTGTTATCCGTGTGTAATTTGTAAGAGTTTTTGACACGTCTGTTTTTTTGCCACGTGCTAGTTTATTTGGCTCATTTGTACTGCAGGATATGTTTTAAGCTCTGTAAATCTTAGCTCTGGAAGGACAAAGTTTGAAATATTCCGCGAACATGTTGGTTACTTGCATTTTGTATTATTACGCCGGGCCCGGCTGTTTGATTAACTGTTGCACGTAATACTGCTGCTTATCACGGTTGTCATATTTATCTTTGTCCCGCTTCGCCAGAGAATATGGTCTTCCATAAGCGATCACAATGGCGATATTACAACGAGAATACTGGAACCACGAGGCTTTTCGAACAGAGCATCGGCAGCGATCGGAAGGCACTGGAAAATCAAAGATTTACTGTAGCCCGTCGGCAAATTTACAAAAATATTTTGACCTCCCAGAAATTTGCGAAGCGAGTTTTCCTGTTCAGGTAGAAGATTATCGATTTAAAACTGCTCTCTCATGGATTTGAACGCTTTTTGCCAATCTTCCTCTGTTATTGCAGACATCTTATTTCCAACTCGAAGCAGATGTACAAATGTTCTTGGGAAACCCGCACACAATTATTTTTAGCATTACGTGATAGTTGCGTGATCGCTTTCGCAAGAATTATTCAATCAGAAAGTGCGTAAGGAACTAGCCAATCAAAAATGGATACACTGACTGCGGGATATCAGAACAAGCTTTTGGGAGCCGTTGCGCAGACGGACTATACCGGCGGTTTAGACTGTCTGTGACGCAGGCTAGAAGCCACACGACAAGGCTAAATTCTTGTGTAGACACTGATAAAACGCTTTTGTAAACAATGATGCTTTCCCGTGAAGGCATACTGTCGACCATCAATTTTCTTAAATAAACACGCAGGTGACATGTTTAATGAATTTCTGTTTTCTTTGGACGATTTGGGAAAAATCTGCCTGCCCCACCCATACACTACGGCGTCTTTGATCTTTTTGGTCCGCTGACAAATTTTTCCAAATTTTGCTTGCAGGGGTCGCATTAGGAAAAGCTCCAATTTTGACCCAATTTTTGGTACAACAAACAGAATTCGCTCTAGTGCGACCCATGCCTTAGAGTCAATTGATTCTGATACTTTCGATGCATTTCCTTTTCAAACGGTTCTAATAATGGAACCAAAAGGCCACAAAATCTGCTTTGAAGCGAAAATTCAGCATTTCAATATTATTTTAAATCTGTGAACGTGAACAACTGACCGCCGAAATCAAGGCAGACCAGATCTGTTGACGGTTGGGCAATCCTAACCCTAGCCCTAAACCGTAACCCAAAGATAACATACCTGGAACAGAAACATGTTATAACAAATTAGCTTGCCTGCATTTCTTTGTATTTCTGGAGCGCCTCATTTTGGCTATTTTTACATGTTTTGTATCTAAATAATGCTGGACACTCTTAGGTCCTAATTCAAGAACAGGCTATACGAAAAGACACCACCCAATGGAATACCTTATTTAGGCTGGAGCTGTTTAGATATGTCATTTCAGTATTGCAAGGTCCTTCTCGGAATATCTGGAAGACACACACAAAAGACTAATACATCACTCGAATCCAAAGATGTAACTATACTACAACAACTTCAGTGATTTTGACCGTGACAGTGACTGGATCATTATATAGTAGTCGGGAGGAGTTTTTGTTTTTAACTTCCTTGATACAAAAATAATAATGATCAATAGTGAACATGCCTTGTCAATGTGGCCAATGGCAAGATATTTCCCTGTGAGGGCTTAATGCCCAGTCAATAAGCAGCTTGTTTACTTACCTGCATGAGCCAAACTTAGAGCCCATTAAGTGCAAGTAAAATAAAATTACGGTTTCAATCTTTTATTATTTTTGACGATCGGATGTTTGTTGACCTTGGTTCAAAATAACCAGAGCAACAAAATAATTTGTGAATGTCCCAGTGCTTGTACATGTCGTTCTGAAGAATAATGGAATTTTGACAGATGAATTTCAAATTAATTAATCTCTGCGCGCAGTCGCATCAGGTGACATAGCCCCCTCAAGCATCTTCACGCGGTTTCCTAGCGATGCCGACGCAATAGAGAAAACATACAACTAAAATCGCGGGATCAGAAACAGGGCAATGAATCAACAATTGATATGATTGGGTGGTATTTTCTACAAAATGCCGGCGCCACATAATGGGTTCAGTTTATCACAAACTGTGACAACTGCCACAATTTCCTTATTGATTTTCCATATGCGGCGAACGCTGACAAGAAAAACTGAATGTGATATTCTTTCACGCAGGTTTTTGAAATCTGCGTTCCTTTTTCACCGATTTTCGCATTTACTCGTAGCTTTTACCAAACAAGTCATTTTAAACAGATTTTATTTTGAACTGTTTTAAATTTCTCGATGCAAAATTCAGCAAAAACCGCGAAACCAAAGATTTATTTCCTTCTCACCACTCTGGCGTCGTACACTGTCCAAACATATCCGATGAGGAACTATACCTCCTAGAAACAAGAGCAATATTTATATTCTTGAATAATTGATTTCACAGCTGCATCTACCAGGTATTAAAGACACAAGGACTGATTTCAACCACTAACAATTAAAATGTAAGGCTCTTTTAAGAGAAGAAATTTTCTTCCATCACTTCCAGTGTCTTGTGAACACTGTGTTCTTTCTTGCGACGACTGCATCCGAATTTTCTAACTTGGAGACCTTCCTATTCTTTACTTTCGTGACAACGTGATATAGTTTAGGGTCTCTTGGATTCAAGTGGGGAATGTTAGCAGGATCGGGCATTTTAAGGACCTTTTCGTAAACAGTTCCTCGGAACGTTCTTTTCTTCCAGTTGCTTTCGTCGTTGTTTGTTGGAGAAAGTAACCCTTGTTCATATTTCTGGTGTGCTTTATTCTCGCGATATTTTCCTCGCTCTCTGTTATATCCCTTGTCTTCACCTAACAAGGACGGGAAGCAACTATCAACAAAAGCTTTTTTTCGCTGACGATTGATCCGTGTAATCCAAGGATCTTCGTCGAGTTCAACGTGATCACGAATAGGCGGCAAAGGGAATCCAATCGAGGTCTTTTTGTTGTTCTGAGAAATAATTTTGAACGTTCTCTCTTTACTCTTTGCTGTCATATCTAAAAGAATTTCTCTTTTCTTTTCAGTAATTGACTCTCTTCGACCTTTCAACCACACCGGTGTCTGATCAAAAACAGCAGTGTTTCTTCGTTGTCTTGGCGGTTTTTTCTGAGCCGCTGGTACCTCATGTACCTCCTCTTCCTGTACTAGAGGGGGCAGAAATTTCGACAGAGATTTCCTTTGAATTTCCTTGAAGTCTTTCTGCATTTTGTTACATTCATTCGCCACCCTTCTCTGCTCTCGTGAAATGACACCCAGGTTGATCTCTAATTCTTTCAGCAGTCCAGCGTTTGTGTGGCTCGCATGCTTCAAACCGTATTTGTTGACTATTTTGATCTTGCTTCGTTTCGGGAGATTGCGGATTCTAGTGAGCTCTTGATTAAGTCTTTCGTCAGCGTTTCGCCTCGCGCCTTCAAAATCCATGGGTTTTAGTAATTCAATAATACGTTTTCCAACACAACCTGCTGATATCCTGGATAATCCAGAGTATTTTGACCCTTGAAAAGTCTTGTGTGGATCTCTCTGGCAATGTTTCCTCCATTCCTTCTGTTCCGTGCTCGCAGTACTCTGTTTTAAGTGTTGACACTCTTGTATTGTTTCTTCTCCAAACCACGCTTTTAACCTTTGCGATACATTGACGATATATCTTAACTGCAGTTTCTATACCTCGGTGAAGTGGAACAAATTGATTACACAATTGTAATATTCGAAGTTGAACGGTGTCTTCCGTGTACGGCTTCGTCCGCGCTTCTTATCGCATGCTCTGCGTTGTTCGATGTCGTCTCTGATACGAAACTTAACATCTACAGTTCGTGACTTGTCCGGATTTTCCGTGTTATTTCGTCCAGTACCTCCGTAACCTTTTAAGACATGTACCGACAAAGCTTAACAATGCGCACAGACTGAGGCTAATAACTGGCGACCTCAAACACCGCTGACGCAGATATCACTGTGACATTAATCACGGTCAGAAGTTATTGGCGTGACAACTTGGCCACAGGCCTAACAAACTTATGTTTATCACTTCAGTGATGAGAGACAAGAAGATGGCGAACGTCTTCTCAGTCCCTCGAAAGAAAAACATTGACAACAAAACAAATGCCGCGAAAAAGACAGTCAATCGGCTCTTGTGTGTTTTTCGTTGGAAGGCTTACATTGCATTGTCTCCCATTGTCGTTTTATTGGATAGCTGCGCGGCAAAGTCCGTAAAGTGAATAGCTGTTTGCTTAGGTAATAATGGTACGGATTTCACATGCAAATACGGTGTAGTATATTATTACGTTGTATTTGTAAACACAATACGCTTGTTTGCAGTCCCTATGAAATACATATGCAATATCAGTTTATTTACGGGAAAACTGTGATCAATTACTGACGGTAACACGTTTGTTGTCATGTTAAAATTGTTTGCACGAAATTAGGTCCGACATCAAGTCAATATCACCAGGGCTCTAACAGACCATCTGCTGTGGACAATTTTCATTGCGTGTTTGAAAAGAGAAATAAATAATTAGCGCCTTTAATGTAGAATACTTCAAGTACGATTTTAGGTCGTTCTGATTCAACTCAACCGACTCTAGTGAAACCGGCCAAGCCCGAGCAAAGAAATACTGTATTGGGCTTGGTACTGAGGGAGGAGTCCACAGCCGGCAGCCGCTTGGCAAAAAGTCGCAAAACAATAAATTGTCTGTATATCTATATGAGATAAACATTAATGAATGATGAAGTGATAGACTGTCTGCAGACGTTTGTTCTTTTTTACGAGTTATTTTTCTCGGGAGCGAGAGCAATGAGAGCGTGCGAGAGCGAGCGCGGAGCGCTAGACCAAGGGTTTTTTCAAATCACCTGCGGTTCAGTATTTGCTTGCGATCTCAACGAACTCGAGACAAAATTGAGGAAGGGGATCAAGTTGGATAGAGTCTTCGGTTTAACCTTGATGTGGATTTGTTTTTTGCCGTGATTTTTTAATTCTTCCTTTCTTTAAAAACAAATTTCCTGATGAGGCTTTGAGGGTCAGTCACAATTTGTAACTGAATGTGGTATGTTTTTCTTCGGAGAAATCTGTGGCACATTTGGAAGATGAAAAATATCCCCTGTCTCGTCACCTGTCAAAATGAAATTTTATAAAACGAACCGACAAACTGAGGACACTTATACCTAGCTATCTAAACTCTTCTTTGTTGATATTGTAAAGAGGATCTGAAAGGTTAAGTACTATCTGACAAATGGGCTGAAATGGCTTTGCCTCAAACATTCTTTTCAGCTGACAGATGTCTAACGGCGTTAATTTTACTACCAACAGACAAATTTTAAGGATGACTGGCATTCAAAGGATATATAAATCTCTATTCAGCTGTCAGTCATACTTTGTGATAGCCCCCGATCAGGCGCTTTTTTTGGGAGAAAGTCGGACGGGCGGGCGGAGGGGTGCGGGGGGAGGGGGGAAGGGCGAGCTTGGACTAAAAGAAGGGGGAAAAGAGCACGTCCTTTTTTCCCTTTCTTCCCCTGCTCGCTTCCCCACCGCCCCCCGCTTCCAAAAAATCCTGATCGCAGGTTAGCTTTGCGTCAGTAGAGTCGCAGTCAGGGTTCCATTCCTGGATTTATCAGAACTGAAAAGGAAATCAGGGCTCTTATGCCTTGCCTGACAGAACCCAACCATCCGCGGAGGACTTACAGACAATTTGTCGGCTAGTTCTATAGACAAGTTTGTGTTGTCGCCTTAAATTCTATCCATCACACTTTAGTTATGTATATCTCTAACTTTTTTCACTGCTTCCGCAGACCCCAAGGTCCAAAAGTCTAGCCTGCGTAACAAGTGTTCCTGTAACTGAGCGAAGAACTTTAGCTTCATTCGCTTTCTGACCGCGCAAATACTGGGGCGGACAAAGCTCTTCACTCGTACAGAAACGCTTGCTACACAGGTCAAAAAAAGTCACTCCGTCACTCGGCCGACTCCGTCCCTTCATTGCTTGAGTACGAAAACGTGACATAAAAGGGCAATGATTTCATAAAATCACCATTAGAGACGAGTGCAGTTCCGTTCAAGCTATTGCAATTGTAATTCCTGTTTTGCTTTCGTCATGAGGACTTGTTATAAAGCCGTTCTGCCCACGAGAACTTAAGTACCACATTAACCCTGGTCACGTGCCATCAATTTCTAGTCTGCTATGCCTCCGTTAGGATTTGCAAAAGAAGATCTGAACGCCCGTAAAACAGCATGGGAACACAGAATTCTACACAATGTTTGCACTATTTTGACTGTGCTCATTAAAAAATCCTAACTAAACAAACAACTCGTAAAAGTCACAAAAGACGTGTTAATGAAAAATTCGCACTAATTTATGAACAAATAAAAATGTCTGCTCGAGATATATTTGCTTGGCACGGAAATTATAGAAATTTACCGAGAAAACTAACGGGAAACATTTAAAAATCCAATCACTTCAAACTTTTACTTAGCTTTTCGCATTCCTAATGCGATAACAAGGAGTGAAAAGAGTCGTTAATGCGTTTTATTGTCCTCCATTGTAATCTCCCGGGACCTGCTTAAATGCGCGATGTTTTAGAAATTCAAATTATTCTATGACGGTGTATGCAAAGCGAAGTCTTTTGCAAACAAATCACCCGGGCCGTATTTTATTAGGGCTTTGTTCTTGTCTATATATTCATCAAACACCGGTCATCCTATCTCTCTTATCTGAGGAAGTGTAAAAATTTTAACAACGCAGTGAAGTGGTCTAATGTGGGCAGATCAAGAGTGTTAGAGGTATACGGTACACTGCACTTTCATTGTAAAAGCCGGATCGTGTTTCGCAACAACAAAACTACACCAAGTTGTCACAAGCATATCAACGTAATACGGAGAGGTATTCAAAGATTTCGTTGAGGTTCAAGGTCTCCTCTAAGGATTACTCTCAGACACGAAACATTTTGCCCATGATTTGAGGCATTCGTAGAAGTCACGGGTATTTGTTTAAGATGAGTGTGAGTTCTTCAAGGTACCCGCTCATTCGAATCAGCAAGACAGGCGAAATGAGGTTAAAGAACAAGGTTGGAAATGCAATACTCAAGGAGAATGCCTACGAAGACCGAGCGCTCAACACTCGTTTAGACACCTTATCTAAACATCAATTCAGGCAAGATAAGTACATGACTTACAGGCAGTTAGAATTTGCCACGAAGCAAGTTTCGGCATCGGAAGAAAGACCACGAACACTGCCTAATGGACAGGAAAACAAACAAGCTAGCGAACAACTGCCGCCGATAGATACAAGACGAAGGTCGAACATTGTGGCTTCGAACTTGGAAACAAATCGCTCAAACAATGGTGGAGAGGTCGCAGGGAATACTAAAGCGAAAGGGCGCTGGGAAAAGGCGATAACGCTTGTAAGATTAGCAGTACAGAAAAGAGAGACAAATGAAGGTAGCACTAAGCCGGTGGCCGGCCATAGAAGGAAAATTTCCGGAACTCAAGCGCCAGAGTCACTGGTTTTAGATCCTAATCAGTTACCACCTATACATGCTAACGAAGGAATACTTCGAGAGCCCGTTGGTTCATCTAAGAGAAAAGCTCTACGAAAACAACCGAGTTTACCAGAAATGCTAAAACTTTCCCGAGAAAAAACGCAAAAGTGTCTGGAGGATCCAAGGTTTATGAAGCTCGAGCAGTGTCTAAGCGAGACGAAAAATCCTCGAGAAACCCGACAACAACGAAGAAATTTGAGAAGACGATCTTCTCCAGATAGAATTCGCGGCTATACGCACTGAAAAAAGCTGCCGTGAGAAAGATTTTTCATGTATGCACGAAAACATTGCTTAAAGTCATAAATTATTTACAAAGGTATACATCTGCATGCAGTGGAAAAACAGCTTAAATCTTTCGTAAAACAGAAGGTTTAAGATTTCCACTAAGATAGTTTATATAAGAAAACGTGAGTAAAATTCTTGCAGTGAAATATACAGTCTAGATAGCTTTTTGTTCTCATAATTTATTTTGTCATGACCACCGTCGCGAGCTATTCGTTTACTCATAACTTAAGTTCAAAAGATATTCATAAACAAGCCATTTATTGTAAATAAAAATTCTCCAACAAAAATAGAATAAATTTTGAGCCATATTGCAATCAGGAACCTTGTTAGCTGACACAATTGTGTTAACCGTCTAAATGATTGCAATTCATTTTACTTTGCCTGCTTTCTAAAGCACTGATGACATTATAATTAACTTTACGAAAGAAGGAAATTTCCGTTTTTTAAGATGAGACATTAAAAATGAAGGCTTTGTAAATAAAAACTCATGCACCTTGAGTTATCTTAAGGTAGTTTAAGGCAATAAAACTTTAAGGATAAAAAGAAAATTCCGTTCAATTTTCACTGTTAACTGTGCGTTAATTGCGAGCGTGTGTGAATACACGAGTGTCCTATGGACAGCCAGTGACCCGTAAAGTTGCCCACTTAAATTATAC